GTCACCTCCAAATACTAAGATGGACTACCTCCCAACCGGTTTTTATGAACAATTTTTTTAAAAGACAAACAAGCTCTCGTTCCAAGAGGGATTTGAACTCGTGGTCAGGTACGTATCTGGGGGGAAGGTCATGGTAACCTCCTCCGCAAAACTAAATAGATACGTTACCTCTAACTGCCACGCGCACCGGTAATGTGTGGTCTTTGATAATAACCCTACTCCCCGGCCAATGCAATGCAGAGATACTGCAAGTGGTAAAATAAAAAATGTTGTTGTACAACCGACTTCAATTTAAATGAAATGAGAACATCATCAACCCATTATTAAGGATAACTCAAAAACTACTGGTCAGATCTTGATCAAATTTATATTGGACCACGTGTAAAGCACCGGCTTTCAAATAAAAATATTTAAAATCAGTTTATCTATAAAATAGCTCTGAAGTAACACACATTTAAAAAAACAGTCAAATTGAGAACCTTCTCCTTCTTTTGAAGTCGTTTAAAAACCACATACAATAAGCAAATTAAAAAAAAATATCAACGTTTTTATAATTGACTTTTCTGAAGTAAAGTTATTTAGATAAGTTTGAAAATACTGATTCTGATAACGCACTTAACGGGAACCATAGGGTATCTATAACATGTTGTACATATTTCATAAAGTATAATTTTGCTTCTTTCTCAAATCAGACATTGCAATGAAAGAAACTTTATTACCTAGCCCCCTTTTGGAACCACGCCTGCCCGTGGCCCAAGCTAAATACCTACTTAGACACTTCGCTACCGGGCTATCTTTTCAAAAGGCCGATAAATACCAACTGCTTTATGAATCAACGTAAATTGACCTATGTCATGATAGAAACAGAAACAGTTGTACTTGGGCGGCGGTAGTCACTTAGCATCAGGTGGACCGTATGCCCGCTTGACCCCTTGAAAAAAGAAACTTTTTTTATTCAATAAAGACTATAAATAATACTTATTGAAAGTCACTCTTTTGTTTAATTACCATTGTGGTTCGAAAAATCTCTGTCCTGGGAAGAACCAGCAAAACACCTAGCGGGACTTTTTTAAACAACAGCTTGCAACCATATTCGTTAGACAATTATTTAACACAACTTAACAAATTAGAAATAGCTTGGCAGCGATCACCTCATATAGCTCGAAGAACCGACAACCGTTGGGGAAAAAACGTTCTCGAGTGGCCACTAGATGGAGTGACGACCTGGTAAGACATGCAGGAAGTCGATGGATGCAGGTGGCTCAGGACCGTGCTTTGTGGCATTACTTAGGGGAGGCCTATGTTCAGCAGTGGACTTGTGAAGGGCTGTAATGATGATGATGATGATGATAGATGTACCATCATCATCATCATCATGTGGCTGACTGTGTGCTCGTTTATCACCCTTATTTTACAAAAAAAAAAATATTTTTATCATTAAGCAAGATAAACTTACGTTGTAGAGCCACGCTGCAGCTATATTATGTTTGCAGCACGAATAGGTCGGCTCGACCGGGACAGGACCACGCTCTCACAGAATACCAGCGTAAAATAACAGCTCAACACTGCTGTGTTTCGTATGGTGAGTGTAGAGAACCAAGAACCCGTTTTACTGGAAACGAGGCATTCCATCTTAGTCTTCACGGTAAACGCGTCTGCATTTTGATTCGTAATCGAGTAGATGGAGATGTCTGTGGGCCACAGCATCCAATTACCATCAGGTGGACTGTGGGTATGTTTATCAACCTTAATCCTATAAAAAAAGAACCTTAATCCAATTACTGCCAGAATTTATAATTAAAAACAAACTATATTTTCGATCTTTTCTAAGGTAACTAGAGCGTTTACCTATACTTATAAATAATTTGGTTTTACATAACATAAAGGACACGTTACAGTTTAAAGGACTGACATTTTTTGTGTCGAATGGTACGTGCGTAGACACTTTCACGGCCACCCATCTAAGAACAGTTAGAGTACACGCGCGGACAAATTTCTGTGTGTTTTGTGAAGATATTTAGACAATAATTTAAAAAAAACGCTTCAGTAAAAAACAATGAAGAAAGAGAGGCAAAGCAAATTTATCCTGCAGAATTGAGTGGCGCAGTGGGCAAGGGACGCCCTAGTCGGAAGTTTATTGACCAAATTAGTGACATATTGTATAAGAGTATCATTAACCGACGCGCATGTATGCGTAGGAATGAATAATCCCTATATGGAGGTGAAAGAAGCGAGAGAGGTCTGCCAGGATCGTGTCAAATGAAAGTCACAGGCATGAAAATTTATGTGTAGGTATGGTATGTGAATTTTCTGAAGGAATCGTATCCGAAGATGGTGTTCGCCGCAGGTAGGGTTGGATCTTTTCTAGCCCAAAGGCTATGTATAGGCTTCGAAAACACGCAGACATTCCAGCCTCTATACCACAAGAGTAAGACTATAAGATAATTTTTTAGTCTTCAGTTAATTTTTTATTAAAATAAATATTGTAGAAAGTTTATTTCTTTGAGATTAAAATACAAAAGTATGTTTATGCCTATAGTGCTCAGATTTATAATTAAAATGTAAATACTAATGTAATATTATATACTTTTTACTTTAAGCAATATTAACACTATCCTCATAATCATACATCATTTATAAAAATCTTGATTACAATTCGAAAACGCATTTGCAAAATAAATTACAATATTGGGCCGACATAACACCTACATCATAAAACAAATACTAAGTCCCTGCACCACCTCACTTTCATAAAACAAATACTAAGTCCCTGCACCACCACACTATAATAAAACAAATACTAAGTCCCTGCACCACCACACTTTCATAAAACAAATACTAAGTCCCTGCACCACCACACTTTCATAAAACAAATACTAAGTCCCTGCACCACCACACTTTCGTAAAACAAATACTAAGTCCCTGCACCACCACACTTTCATAAAACAAATACTAAGTCCCTGCACCAATACACTTTCATGAAACAAATACTAAGTCCCTGCACCACCACACTTTCATAAAACAAATACTAAGTCCCTGCACCACAACACTTTCATAAAACAAATACTAAGTCCCTGCACCACCACACTTTCGTAAAACAAATACTAAGTCCCTGCACCACCACACTTTCGTAAAACAAATACTAAGTCCCTGCACCACCACACTTTCATAAAACAAATACTAAGTCCCTGCACCACCACACTTTCATAAAACAAATACTAAGTCCCTGCACCACCACACTTTCGTAAAACAAATACTAAGTCCCTGCACCACCACACTTTCGTAAAACAAATACTAAGTCCCTGCACCACCACACTTTCGTAAAACAAATACTAAGTCCCTGCACCACCACACTTTCATAAAACAAATACTAAGTCCCTGCACCACCACACTTTCGTAAAACAAATACTAAGTCCCTGCACCACCACACTTTCATAAAACAAATACTAAGTCCCTGCACCACCACACTTTCATAAAACAAATACTAAGTCCCTGCACCACCACACTTTCGTAAAACAAATACTAAGTCCCTGCACCACCACACTTTCATAAAACAAATACTAAGTCCCTGCACCACCACACTTTCATAAAACAAATACTAAGTCCCTGCACCACCACACTTTCATAGAACAAATACTAAGTCCCTGCACCACCACACTTTCATAAAACAAATACTAAGTCCCTGCACCACGACACTTTCTGTAGGTACACTTTCTGTTTCTAAGCCACTGCTCAAAACTTAGTTTTTAGTTTTATGTTCTTACATTTTAATTATTTTAATATATAGAAATAATTCAAGTTTAATATATAAAAATAATATTTAACTGCACTTATACTATGAGATGGCATGATTTACAGGAACCATACAATTTCTATAAAAAGTTGCGTTTTAAGAACTTGTCAAGTCTATCAATTGACTGAAGCGTCTACTAGCCTATTGATATCTACTCATTTAATTACAATTTTTCATTATTTTGGATTATGAAATCCTTATTCATTGTATAACGCTTAGATACGAACCTCACAACAACTAGTCTCTTACGAGTTTGGGCGGTTTGCCTCGGAAAATTGCGCGAAAGTAAAGGAAAATGACGCTTACTGCCATCTAGCGGCGAGAGGCTATAAACTAGAAAAAATATTTTCCTGAGTGGAATCACGTACCTACTTTAATTTTTTTTATTGGAAAAGTTCAAACGCCTAATCGTTTGATTTGTTAATAGATAGTAATTAAATACGAGTATGATCCACAGGAAAATATCTAGCACAGAATCTAGCCAACAGAAAAGAAAGTTGTTAAACGATTGGTAGTACCTTCTTATCGTCAACTAGTAGATACCTAGATGGTTTTAATAATATACAAATATTCCATATTTGTTATCAGATGAGAATAAAAGTTTCCGGAAATCTGTTATGTAAGTTTATAGACGTTTTTACCTAGGTGTTTATGAATAATTATAGGTAAGTAAAGCTTACATAGAATAACAAAATAAATAGTATGTGCTGCAATTCAAAAAATTGGAAATAACTATGTTATCAAGGCCGATCGAAATTAAATAGTACGTTTAAGGTTTTTAAAAATGGGGGAAAACCCCAAATATGCGTCTCAATTCGAATGGATAGCGCCGATCGTAGCGCGAACGAACCTAGTAACCGAATTTCGGGTGGCGCGAAACAAAAACTGACCTACATCTGCGCCCTACCGAGTTCAGCCACCCCTGCCGGCAACTGAGACGATCGCCCTACGCATCTTGCCCTTTGCAATTGTGTTCATGCACTTTCGATTAGGTATTTCAAGGTGACGCGTGCAACTATTGCATTTCTATTTTATACTTTTCTCCCAACTTGATATTCATTAATAAATAATAATATAATGAAGATAAATACAATAGTGTGTAGATAGGTAGTTCTTTCGTTAAAATAATAGACAAGAAAATGTTGCAGAATGTATTAGAATTATTTAGTTGTGTCACTATTAATATATTTGTAAAAAAAAAATAACGATGGGGAAGCAAAATGTAAACAAATTAACGTCACTGCAAGCGGCCAGTTTCAGCAGTCCGAGCGTCGTCGGCCAGTCGATAGCGCTGCAAAAAAAGCGCATCCTATTATCGACTACAACAAAAGGACTTGTGCAGCGATACCTAAGTACACATCTCGATTCATCGTCTCGACTCGATCCGCCGAACCGATCCTATTGGCGCGCCCCACTGTCGCCGCGCGGGAGCGAGATGCAAAGCGCGCTCCTAACGGCGAGGGATAAGGAGGGAGACGGTCATCTTAGCTGCCGAGTGGCGTCCCACTGGGCGGGGCCGCGCCAAGGAGTGAACCTCAGATGCGCGTAGTGTTGGTGGCTTGGTGGGGTCTCGGCCGAAGGATCGCACTGCAGTCGTCTGTCGCGGCACCGACGCGCGCCCGCGACTTCGCCGTTTACAGCTCCATTAAGGATAATCTTACGTAATAACTAATCGGATCGAAATCGTTCGTCCGATAATCGATGGTGAAAAGTGAACTCTCGATAATTGTGCATTATTTTTTTTTGTTTATATTTTTTTTCCCACCACTAACCAGCCGTCAGTGAACTCGAGTTGTGCGCACAGTGACATGTTATTGTTTTGTTTTCGCACGGACTTATAAGATATTTTTGGGCGTAGACTGTGTTTATGCTTTTGAAATTTTTTGTTTGAGACGTTGTTTGCGGCGCCGTGGTGGTTCAAACAATTTATGAGTTTTTGTGAGGAATTTGGACTAAGTGCTATGTGGACATCGTTCATAAATAATAAAACTGTTGCTTGAACAATCATCTAAAATTGTAAGTACTACTTTGAGTGCGGTTTGTATTATTCTCTTAAATATATAGTCGTTTTCTTCTCTCAGTCTATATAGATAAACATTTTGTTAGGCTAATAGGAGTTGTTGCCATAATCGGTTTCTTATTAGAATAAGTTTAGAAAAAAAACAACAACATAAATATCTACAAAACACTTAAATACAAATAAAACTTCTGAATAAACATGGTAATGTTATAAATTAAAAGTATAAATATTCAATACACTAACGATTAGTATCACAATTTCTTGACGTAACTATTAGAAAGCATAATTTATAGACGAAGAAAAACTTAAATATGCAGCGTTCCCGCTCTATCAGAAAAAGTAATTATTGGAAATTTAATGCGATACGAGCGATCAATAAATGTAAATATAATTGCTGGGAATAAATAAATGTGTGAGTGCAGTCCGCGTGCGTTTCGCGTCGGATAAACTCCGTCTACGGATACGTTTGAGTATCTGTTACGAATTCTATCGGTGATTGATCACTGTCAATTAACGGTATCTCTTACTGTACTTCCGCGGTTAGCTGGCAATTATTTAAAAAATTCCTGTGATAGCTTTCGTGTTCCGTGTTCCTCTGATTTCAACTCTTTGAACAATCAAATGTTAAGAGCGGAAATTATATCACAACATAAATAGTACTAGGTAACGTGTAATTTCTTGAAATTCACTTGTGCGTAAATTGTAATATTTCTGTGGTATACATAATGCACCCAAGCAATTTATTCCTCGGTCGATTTGAATTATTGTGTAATGATAAGGAAACTTCTTAAATAAAATATCTACCACCATTAAATTTTTTAATTGAAAAATGTAATAAAGGTTAGGTTAGGTGTACAAAATATTTCATTGGCGATTCCCAGCATATAGATACGTAAGCAAGTTACAATACACTGTTTACATTAATTTCTTTTATAAAAATCGTACTGAGAGTAACATTATTTTTTCATAGCTTTATTTTTTTAATAAATCACAATAAAAAATTAAAAATGTCTTTCAGAAATAATTTTAATCTTTAAAATATCATTAAATAATTATCACTATAAGCCGTATTTTACACCTTCCATAATTTCTTTTGACATCAGTGAATCACGGTGTGGTTAGGTTACACTGTTGATTATTTTTAATTAGCACTTACTAAATAGGCTATAAAAATTCAACATAAAACTTCTAAAATAATGTGTCTAATAAGATGTTTTTGATCTAATTAGATTTTTTTAATTTTGTTATGTAAAAGCATGCTTGGTATTTCGAAAGGGTTAATTAACACATACTTTTAGAATTTATATGGCTTGGCTTACCTACGGTCTCAGACAGGTAGTATAGATAGTAAGTTTTATTAGGTAAGTTATCAGTATATTGGGATTTTTTTCTACCCTAGCTGTTACTATTATATATTATGTGATATAGGTACAAATTTAATTCCTAGTCATAGCAAAACCACCATATCGAATAATATTTTATCAGTTAATATTATAATATTGAGATACCTATTATAATTAAAAAAATTGCAGAGTACGTATATTTTTTCTATGATCACTTGGTAATTCAAAATCTATTTAGGTAAGGTATTGTAATGTAAGTATGTAAAAAGGTACGAACATAAGATTTTTGATTTTTGTAATGTTTGCAACATAAATTTGAAGTAGGCATTACTTTACTTATGTCGTTTTAGTCAACCGTCGACTTTGAAATTATTATTCATAACATTAATTACTCAACATAAATAAATTACTATGAAATAAGTAAAAAGTGAACATCATAAGTAGGTAAGTATAAACACAAGGATTAAAGTCTGTCACCAATATGACACAAATTTTATTTATAGCTTTCAATATGAAAATAAAAATTAGTCTCCTATAGAAGTAGTCCGTAGGCAGGTATCATCCATCACCCACACCGAGGTGATTTTTATAAGTTTTCGTGGTTTGAGTGCAAACGCCTACACGATACATAATATAAGTACCTGGTAGTTACCTATAGGAACAGAATATAAAATGTAGTTTAAATCAGTTTTTTAAAATCGTTATCATATGCGTTTTATCTCGTATCGTTATTTATCTTAATAAGTTCGTAATACATACCTAGATTATTCAGATAATAATTAATTATTAATTTTCTAATTAATCTTCATTGACGTCTTTATAATATACAAAGGTCGGATTTAATGCCTACAAAATTCTCTTTTGAAATCTAAAAATAAATACACATAGATATGAATTAAAATACAAATATAAATAGTGTCAAATCATTTTACATTAGGTATAGTATATAATGTAAAATGATTACATACAGAGATGTGCCCGCGAATCTGTCGACATAAATTTTATATTGTTACAAGCCTTATTGAAGAAACACAACAGACTTTTAAAAAAAATGTTTACTAAATACTAGTTGATAAAAGATTGAATGATTTTTTTAAATTTGCAACACGATGTTGACTGTGTAGCGGTGTAAGAATTTCCTCTACCTCATATCGTACCCTGGGTGTCGTTGGACGCGACAGAGGGAGCAAACCAGGAGATGGGAAACAGCATCTTCCTGATGACTAGAAGACAAAAAACTGCGGATGCCAGGCCACCCGCCAAACATGACCACTATGGCAGATAGGTACCCCTTACTAGGGAATATACGAAGGCCTACGTTAAGCAGTAAAGGGCTTTAATTATTAATGTTTAATATATACCTAATTGTAATATATATTTAATAGGTATATAATAATTTTTTTACGTGGTAGAGCCATGCTGCAGCTATATTGTGATTGCGACTTGACTGGGGCAGGACCACGCTCTCACAGAACACCAGCGTAAAATAGCAGCTTAATGCCATTGTGTTTCGTATGGTGAGTGTAGAGACCCAGATATCCTTTTTTGCTGGAAACGAGACATTCTATCTCAATCCTCAGGGCTGGCAACGCATCTGCATTTTGATTCTTAATCGAAGATAAATGTAGATGTCTATGGGCCACAGTATCCACTTACCATCAGGTGGACTGTGTGCTCGTTTGTCACCTTTATTATACATTTTTATTATGTATGTAATAAAAAATTTAAACACATATCTTTGGATTTAAATATTTTTAATTGTTATAAATGTAATTAATTAGTTAAAATTAATTATAAAACTACTTTAATATATGATTAGAATTAAAATATTTAGTAAAAATATTAATTCTATTAGGTATATATACGTCTGGGATTTCGCGGAATGTTTTTTATTTATTTATAATTAGCAATCTGCCCCGGCGTCGCACGGTAGATGTCTGTATTCTACAACAGCGCCATCTACCGGGTCCAACTATGCCTATAACATTAGCGGAAGTGCACGCAATATGTTGACAAAGTTTTACCGCAATCTGATGAACGGTATGGCAACGTATAAAATACGTACAAACAAAAATAATATATAGAATATTGATAATTTCTTGCCTTTACGCTGGACTAAACAGGTATAAAATTTTCTAAACTAAAACTAGTATGTGAGGGTAATATGGTCATCCGGTTAATATGACCACTTTCTTATCAAACATTTTTTTTTAATCTCAAAACTATAGTTTTGTTTCTACTCTTCATCAGTCGATCAAATAATAAAGGATCAAAACAACGCTGCTTTATCGAACGATTGACAGTTGAAATTATAGTAAGTAAATATTTTAGTCGATTTTAGTATGGTGCAGTAGTTAATTTTTTTAAATTGATTTTTCGAAGTGTTCGTAATTATTGTCAAAGTTTGCTATTGTTTTTTTTTTTATATTAGTTATAGTATATAGGTTTGTGTTTTTGTCTCTGTCGCTTAGCGTACCTTAAATTAAAAAAATACTTATAATAAAAATTAAAAGTTGCTTGTAAAGCACGATATATATATATATATATATATATATATATATATATATATATATATATATATATATATATATATATATATATATATATATATATATTATAATAGTTAAAAACTCTGAATTTAGGGCGTTACCTCTAATACACTATCTGTTTAGGTCTCGGTATCGGCGTTTACTTTTTACTAGGTGTTATCCGCGACTTCGTACGCGTGGAATAATAACACTTGGATTTCCCGGGTTTTAATTGGCTGAGAAATGTTATTCCTTTTCGAATATAAAGTAACCTAAGTAACTCATTATAACATCAGTTACCAGAGAAGTTCTGTCAACATCAGTCCAGCCATTTCGGGATTAGTCGGAACAAACAGATAGACAGAGAAAACTTTTAAAATAGTTTTTTTATGAGTACCGTATATACTTTCATAAGCATATAGTAAAAAGCTGTTATTTTGAAGTTATAAACAGTCACTTCAATTTTATTTATTTAATATTTATATATATATTAAAATCTATTTTTTTTTTACCTTTTGAGTTATAAATACTTATAAGGATATCACTATTTCAATGTCGTCTAAATAATTACCTTATTTTGAGATTCTTAGTGGTGTATTGTTTTTTCAAATTTATATGTCACCACTCTTTGGCCGTGTAGTGGCGGTATGAGAATATC